TAATAAACTATAATAAATTGTAATAAACTATAATAAACTGTAATAAACTATAATAAACTATAATAAATTGTAATAAACTATAATAAACTGTAATAAACTATAATAAACTATAATAAATTGTAATAAACTATAATAAACTGTAATAAACTATAATAAATTATAATAAATTGTAATAAACTATAATAAACTATAATAAACTGTAGTAAACTATAATAAACTGTAGTTAACTATAATAAACTGTAATAAACTGTAATAAACTATAATAAATAGTAATAAACTATAATAAACTGTAATAAACTATAATAAACTGTAGTAAACTATAATAAACTGTAATAAACTATAATAAACCATAATAAACTATAATAAATTATAATAAACCATAATAAACCATAAAAAACTATAATATAACATATTATATAATATAACTGTGTAAAGCACAATAAAAAGAAGCTAAGAATAATCATCAAAAAATAAACCAAATATTCGAACCGCGTAAAATAAAGAAATAAGTTGAACATACATGATTTCAGACATGAATGTTTTTTATCGCGTTTTGCATGCGTCTGTCCCCGACGCGTCGCGTCGCGTCGCGGCGCCCGTTGAATCCTAAGGAATCGTCCGGAATCCATCGACACCCCCTCGAAGAACCCACCCGCGTCCGGGTCCGTGCCGGTGCCAGCGGCCCGCTTATCGCAGCGTTTATTCGCAGACACGATGTCGATCGATCGGGAGACGAACCCGGGGCGTCGCTCGAACCGACGAAATTAATTACAGCTGTCAAACATCGGCGACAGGGAATTGTTAATAAAGCGGCGCACGCGTATCGAATTATCAGCGCTTCGCGTCGAGCGTCGTTAAAATTTTGATACCCTCGCAACGGGGGCCGATATCTGCCGCGGAATAGAGCCGTCTATGGTCGTTAACGTCGCCGGGAGATTTTAATGGGAACGCGGGTCGCGATCCCGTGTAAATTCGATCGACGGTGATCCACGAGGATCTCGGGCGTCCTCGGTGGGACACCGTCGACCTGCACCACGACCTCTCGACCGAGTAATCGACGCTTTAATTCGTTCCGGGTGCGCCAGAAAAATCTCACCGATGCTGGCCTCGTCTCTGAGGAACGTCTTACGAATCAATTGTTTGTCCTTTTTTTTCGGTGTAATCGAAATTGTCGGCGCGCACGAGACAGTACTCGAACTGCAGTGTCGGATTAAACGTTGAATTTGAACGCATTCACTGCCAATCACGTGTTATCTCGTGGTAGACGCCCAGCACGAGTTAATTACTATCAAAACGAAAGGATTTATTTATTATTTTGTACTTGTTATCATTTTTTACTTATTATCATTTTTGGCTTTTTATTGTGTTTTACTTATTATTATTTTTTACTCATTATTATGTTTTACTTATTATCAGTTTTGACTTTTTATTGTGTTTTACTTATTATTATTTTTTACTCATTATTATGTTTTACTTATTATCAGTTTTGACTTTTTATTGTGTTTTACTTATTATTATTTTTTACTCATTATTATGTTTTACTTATTATCAGTTTTGACTTTTTATTGTGTTTTACTTATTATTATTTTTTACTCATTATTATGTTTTACTTATTATCAGTTTTGACTTTTTATTGTGTTTTACTTATTATTATTTTTTACTCATTATTATGTTTTACTTATTATCAGTTTTGACTTTTTATTGTGTTTTACTTATTATTATTTTTTACTCATTATTATGTTTTACTTATTATCAGTTTTGACTTTTTATTGTGTTTTACTTATTATTATTTTTTACTCATTATTATGTTTTACTTATTATCATTTTTTACTTACTGTTATTTTGTATTTACTATTTATTTATTTAAACAAATGTAAATGTTGACGTTCAAGACAGATTTTTCCAAAATAGGCTTGACAGTCAATGTGTCGAGCAGAAAAGTCGATAACGTATGCTACTATAATATTTAATAGCATTCAATTAATATTATATTAAATAATAATATTTAATAATAATTATACGACATTTCCTAATGTGTCCAAAATAATTGATGTAATTTGAAACCGGTGAGTGTAGGAACGCAGTCGTCGAGAAGATGAATTCACTGTGATGCGTGGAAAGTCGGTTTGGCGTGCACGAAATTTTTTAATGCAATGACAGTAACTGTTTCGTAACGTACAGCGGCATTAACGAGGACGTTGTAAAAGGAGATTAATTGTTGGCGAACACGATTCCGTCTGTCGCGGTAATTGCAAAAAGGGAATAGAAAATCTATTTTCAGGTTCCATCTTTTTTCCCTTTTTTCCTTTTTTTGGTTTTTACAGCCCTCCTTGTTCTCGCGGTTTCCGTATTATGATTTCTCAAACTCGGTCGGCGCAGTTTTTTTAACCCGTGCGCGTTTCCATTAATCGCGCGCCGAGCGAAACACGCGACGAATTCTCCTGCTTTTTTAACACGGAATTTCATTCTGCGCGCAGCGGCTGCTTGCAAAGGGAGCTATGCACTTCCTTCCGGGGAAATTCGCGGGCTCATTCATCGTTTGATCGGTGCTTGAATAAACAGTGCGAAACGTTTTGTAAGAGTAATAACATTTGCGTTACTGATGAAAAGAATGAACTGGGTTATGAATGAACGGGGTAAGCTTATTATATCTACCGGCGCACGGTTATTGAAATATAATTGGAACAATCGTGTTTATTCTGACGTATGAAAATGTTGGAAGATTTCGCGAAATTTACGAATTCATAGGAAATGGTGTATCTACTTAAAGACACGAATAATTTGTAGATTACAGATTTCGTATATTTATGACTAAGACGGGTTGATCGAGCACTTACAATACGCAATAAATTTTGAAAGAATTTCAAAACACTGTCGCACTATTTTCAACTTATTAACCCTTTGCACCCGGACCGATACGGCGACACTAAATTATTTTTTATACATTAATTAAAACGCAAAATCTCTTCTACATTGATTCCTATAAAATTTCACAACGGTACAATGATTTCTATCGCAATTAAATTTCGTATAGCAAAATCACAATTTTAGGAAAATTTGCTTCAAGCTGTATAATTAGGATAAATAGCTGTATAATTATATATATAATTATATAATATATATATATGTAATTAATTATATAATAAATATAATTATATATATAAAGCTGTATAATTAGTTATATAATAAATATAATTATATATATAAAGCTGTGTGTATAATTATATATATAAAGCTATATAGTCATATATATAAAGCAGTATAATTATATATAAAAGCTGTAAAATTATATATAAAAAGCTGTATAATTTAATCTTCCGATCGCCAAAACTTGAAACGATTGAAAATTCGATTTGAATATTAAAATTCACAAACTCCGTTCTTATACATAAAAAAAAATTAAAAGCTACTCTGGCAATTCGAAATATCCGACGTGTCAAAAAGCGATCACGAGTCCGCAATGCAACTGGGAAGGCATTCTCGACGTCCCTAACCCTTTCAGCGCCGACTGAAATGGAAAATTCCAAATAAGAAAGGGTTGCTGAGACACCGAGCTGGACGACTGCCACGTCGCCCGACGCAGTTGCACGTTAAAAAAAGGCGAGGGAGGCGTCGCAACGACGTCGAAATAAAACGATCCGCTGGAAAGAATCATCCCGCGCGTCCTCCAGCTTTCCCGGCGTAACGGTGAAACGAGCAACGCGACCATAAGCTCGCGCCGGCTCGCGGAAAATAGCCGCGTGACGCGCGTCGCGCCTTGGCCGAAGCCATGTTTGAAATTAGCATTAATATAAAAAGCATACACAGAGGTCGTGTTCCGGCGAAGCGAGCCGCGTTGCCGGACGGCCTGGGGATCCGACAGAAGGATCTCATTTCGCCGGTCATTGTTATCATTCACCGAACCATTCCCCGTTCAGCCGGTTTTGTCCAAACGAAATCGCGTTCCGAAAATGGAAGCCACCGACGCGCCGCGTCGGCTAAGAAAAATAGAGGAACGAGCGCATTCCGGGAGGGCGCGGCGTATGTAGACGTTACTTCGTGGTAAATTACAGAGGGTGGATGGGGGGGATTGTAGCCAACCGGAAGGCAAGGATCTCCTCGAGATAACGTTGGTTCCGGGACGGCGTATCATATTTTAAAGGAGGAACGGAGAAAATCGTGGCGGCTAGAGATGAAGGAAGAAATAGAGGAAGAGGAGAAAATAGAGAGAGAGAGAGAGAAAGAGAAACAGAGAGACAGAGAGGGATGGCAGGAAAATCCTGGCGCGGAAAAATCGGGCGAGATTGAAATTTTTACATTTCAATAACGCGATCGTTATAATCCCGTGACGGACAGAGAATGAGAGGGCGTTCCGTTCGATCGGGGCAGAGCCCGTTCGGTTGTTGCCGTGGATTATTCGTCAATGATTTAACCGAGGTTTCGGTTGAAGGGTAGGCACCGTGCCGCGTCGGCCGGAGATTCGACGTTAATTCCAGGACGCGGCCGGATGTCTTATTAATCTCTCTCTCTCNAAAACCCGTCCACGGGTACGCCGTACCGTAGCCTTCGGTTTCTTTAATTGTCCGACCAAACGTTTTCCGTCGTGTCCCCGCCATTCGCCTCTTCGATCTATGTACTCCGCGTCGCTTTCGTTTCAAATACCGCGCATTCCCGAGAAAACGTAGCTACAACGTATAAATTCGATCGTTCGTTGTCTCGGGTCGATTCGATTCGATCCGATCCGATCCGTTCCAATCCGTCCTCCATGGATGAAGCTGTACGTACGCGAGACTCGCGTAGTTCATCGTACGATCGTGTCGGGGTACGAGTCTCGTCGACGAGAGCGATGCAAAGCTACGATATCGGGAGATGCGGTGACGGGTGATATTTGCGTAGAGTCGAGCATGGGACAACTACACTTTGAAACACCCTACGATTTACCATTGCTGTTCAAGCACGGGCAGAGCGCGTTCAGTATTCGGTTGCAGAATCCACGTGCACGATGGTTCCAGCCAGCGATACCGTCGGTACCTTTCAGTCCGGATCCTGCGCAAACGCATAACACAATTTTTAATTTTTCGCTAGCTCTCCTTCGCGTTCCTACGAAACGCGTCGAATCTTTGCTCCACACACTTCCCGTATCTTATCCTCGTAATTCCTTCGAAAGCGTCGAATCGAAAATAACGAAAACAACGAAAACGATCGTTTCGAACGTTGCGCTTACCTTCGTGGACGCCGCTTCCCTGAAACACGAAGCAGAATGAAACGATCGACGGAATACGACGACAAATACCGCTAGCATCGCCCGTATCGTACTTTCGAGATCGTTTACCTCCGAGTAGAGTTTCCTTTTCGATGCTTCCGTGGACGCTGTTTCTATAACGCCCTTGACGAACTCCGACGTTCCCTTCATAAGTTCCTCGTCGTCTTTAAAAGCGTCTTTCTTCTGATCCAACGTTCCGGTAGACAACATTTTCTCCCGTTCCTCGATGCTCCATTTGTTCGTAGCCCCTTCGGTCATCGTTAACGTCGATTCGATTCGATTCGATTCGAATCACACGATTTCGATGCAACGATTATCCGTCGCGTACGACGGAAACGCGTTTAGATCTCGACGAATCCGCCAACGGGCATCGTTCCCCGGACTAATTTTAATTTATCGAGGAAAAGTCGCAACTATGGAACAACGCAGACTCTCTTCTTCTTCTTCTTCTTCTTCTTCTTCTTCTTCTTCTTCTTCTTCCGTTACAATTCCTCTTTTCCCACCTCTCGTTCTATATTCCTCATTTCTTCGCTTTCTTCTCGCTTCGGTTCTTCTCCTTCTTCTTTTCAGAGTGAAACCCCACGGCTCGAAATTACTACAAATACCAATCGCAATCAGCAATCAGCGCCAACAGCGATCGCTATCGTTGGCGGTTGTATCGATGGCGACAACGATAGCGGTAGGCGGTTGTTGCAGCAGCCGCTGTCTGTACGCGGCTACTACTATTTCTTACCGTGTCGAATTTTTATGGTCGTTTCTACGAGATGCGTGAGCGCGCTGATCGTAAATACGAACGAAGCTTTACGAGATTTACCATTTTCGCGCTCGTATCGTAGCTTCGCGAAAAACCGTCGGCTTCTCTTTCCATAAAACGAGATTTACTTTTCGGCCGACTCTACTCTTCTTCGTCGAGCAACAAAGTACACGGAGAATCGACGCGCAACGATCGTCGACGCTCCCTTTGATCGGGAACGGCTATTTCGCGTTAACGGCATTGAAAATATAGAAAACGGAAGGTTCGCTTACTCGTTTCGGCAGAAATTCGAGAACGATGGGGCGGTTGACCTTTCGGGCGTAGATATCGAGCTACAGGTGGTGCGCATTCGTTTTACAGCGATGCCCGGATCCCCTCTATCCGACGTCGGTACGCATCCAGATGGTCGCCACCCGCCGCCTCTCTCGTCGGATATCGCGTTCAGCCGGCCATAACTCTACCTGTCGAATATTCTTTAGTTCGCGCATCGAACGTTCGGAACCTCGACGTTCGATCGAATTTTAATTACGTACTTTCGATCGAACCGACTTCCAACGATTCTATCGCGATGATTTTCAAACGGATCCCCTCGTCCCTCGACAACTTCTTTCCTCGACCGTTGCGTGTGTACGCGTGTACCGATGCCGTGTGTCACTCTCTCTTTCACTCTCTCTCTCTCTCTCTCTCACTCGCACAAACACGTCTCTCGTTACCGTTTAATTCGATCGATCGTTCGAATCACCGATGCTGCTTACTTTCACGGAACGCGATACCGTAAGACTCGCTAATAGCAATCGATACACCTGTTCCATATCGTAGTTCGCGATTCGCGATACGTCCGATCACCGATTCATCCTCGTAACGACCGAACGACGGTCTGCCAGGTTCGCTTCGTCGAAGAAATCACCCTGGGAAAATGCTTCGGAGCATGCGTCGTGTTCTCGTGTTCCTTCGTGTTCGCGTTTCGTATTCACCCTTCGCGCTACGTACTTCCACCGCTCGTCCACTCGTAAGCGCGCGATCTACACGCGTATCGTGCATACGTATAACCTTTTCTTCGCTACGCTGTTCCAATTTTTTTCCATGTCTTTCGTCGGCCGTTCGTTTTTACCGCGCGCAATTCTTATCGAGTCACGATCGTTGCTCTTCGCCTTTGCCGTCGCTCTCTCTCTCTCTCCCTCCCTCTCTCTCTCTCTCTCTCTCTCTCGCTCGCTCTCTTCGATTCGCAGCCGCTGCCGTCTACTTCGACGCTGGATTACTCGGCCGCGCCGGAAAGTAAATGGATGCTTAACGTTTAATCGCGTGCCGGAACGCTCTCACGGCCGTCAGAGGTGTATGGGAAACGTGCGGCGTTAAGCACAACACCGAGCCAGCTGTGCAAAAATGGCCCCTTCGAATTTTAGGAGCTTCAGCTGCTGTGTGTGCTTCATCTCCGCAGAAATTGTCGATACTTGGACTTTTACAGGATAGTGGGAGCCGGTTACTGTGTGCTGACCAATTGCTGGGCCTTCGGTTTCGTTTCTCCTGGTTTATCGTCGCATCAACTGCTATGGTTGTTAGCGACTTCGCGTTATTGTTCCGGTGAACATTTTGTCCATTATTTTTGCGTCCTTTTGATTTGTTTTTCCGGGCATAATATTTATATTTGTATTTTATATTTATGTACATATTTATGTTTATGTTTATCGAATAAGGTATTATTAAATTTCTTTATTCAAAAATGAACTAAATGAAAGAATAACGAAATTTAATATTTTTTGTTCGGTGAATGAAAAGACAATTGTACCTGGTAAGTAAGTAAATAAATTTTTAGCAAGTAAGTTTTAACGTTTGAAAATTTGTCGATGTTACCATCGTTGCCAAAATGATGTGAAAACCTCAATTTCAATAGTCAATTTTCTGACTAAGATAAATGCGTCATACCTGATTACATAATAATAAATTGCACAGAATAAATGACACATAATAAGAAATCCGTTTCGACCAGGCGGGAAACTATGTGAAATTAGCGTGGTATTCAACGTGTCGAATCAATGGATTTCCCATGCGAAAATTATGTTCCCGAAATTTGTCGAAAATATAGTGACGGTATTTATATTATATTGTTCGAGAGAAATTGCACGGGCTTCTTGAATGTTTTGGTGAACTGTTAACAAAGGGTATTGTTAATGGAATCTATTGACATTGTCGAACATTTGTCGGTCGAATATGTTCGGGGCAACAAAGCACGCCTCGTGATTGTTTGCGTGAAAAGAGATCGTGTAAACATTAACGGTAACAATGATGCGGATAAGCTACTATAATAATCATGCGGTAGCGTACGATGATTTGCAAAATCGTAAGCGATTTAATCGACAAAATCAATATTGGGCATAATCAGAAAAATTATGAAACTTTGCACGCGAAAAAGAGGTTCCTTGTTTAATTTAATTTTACATTCGATTTCAAACACTTTTTTAAAAATATTTTACCCAGTTTTGTAGACGCGGTAATAATGCAATTTTTTAAATAATGATTAGACCGTGGATTTTAGGTATTTTTGACATACAAACGGATGAATGGAAAACAAAATTGTGAAAAGATTAAGAAGATTTAATAATATTGCTACAGACAGACGTTTTCATCGAATTTACATTTCTTATAATCGACTCGTATGATTTTTATTTTGCTCGTCTAATAATAACATAATCTAACGAAGACATCGTCTGATAATGATAATATTGTTTTAACATCATTTGCTATTCTCGACATATATATCGAACAAACGAAAATATTACAATTTTTTCAAGAATTGTTTTCACCCTTTTGAGGTCAAAGTTCCATAATTTGTTGATTAGTTGACTTTCCAAAAGTCTCTTTTCGGCACTCTTTGCGTTTCACGGATCTCGACCCCTTCGCAATCCTGAATATTCGAAATTAATTTTCGACTGTGATCATAAAATCGTACCCACGGTCTTGTAAATGCGAAAATGACTTTCGCCGCTAAGTTTCACAGGTCAGAGGGAAGTTTATCCGCGCGAACAATCGAAATGTTTTCCACGAGGAAGAAAAGCCCGTGCGCGGTCCTGCTACCGCGACCTAGCCAATTAAATTAAACTTCGTCAATGCATCGCCCCGTTGTATCGGAAAACTGTTTGGCAAGTAAGCGAACCGTGCTCGAGGACCGTTTTGCAAAAGTCAGCAATTACCAAGGTTTATGGACCGCTCTCTTTCTCTCACCTTCCCCTCTATTTCTCTCTCTCTCTCTCTTTTTCTCTCTCTTTCTATCATCCCTTCTACCCTCTTCTCTCGTTCGCTTGTTTTATGGAGCAGAGAATAAAACATTAACGGTTCCCAGGCTTTCCGCGGCTGCATTTTTTCGAGGAAAGGCACACGATCGTTCGTACCCTAGCGCGATACGTTGCGAACAACTGTTCGATGCATTGTGCACACTCATCGGCTGAAGTACTGTTTCATAAAAACACGCGCCAAGTGGATTAAACGGGTTGATTTAACACTGGCGCCTTTGTGAATTCGAAAGCGAAACCGTTTGATTATGCGCCGCTTCGTTTTTAACGCAACAGTTTCGAGACTTTTGTAACACCTGTTTCGTAAATGCTTGGTTAAAGGGCTTTGATTTCATTTCCTTTGATTTAAAGAGCAAATGATTCGTTATTCTGCAGGCGTTTTAAAGGAGATAACGTTTCACGTCTCCGGATGAGAGATAATGATGAACAAATGACATTTTATTCGACACTATCGGATAAACTAAGATAGACTAATTTATTCGAACAAATAGACAGAACAATTTATTCGAGAAAACAGATAGAACAATTTATTCGAACAAACAGACAGGATAATTTATTCGAGAAAACAGACAGAATAATTTATTCCAACGAATAGTCAGAATAATTTGTTCAAAACAAATAGTGAAAATAATTTATTCGAACAAACAGACAGAATATAAATTACTCGAACAAATAGTGAAAATAATTTATTCGAGCAATTAGACAGAATAATTTATTCGAACAAATAGACAGAACAATTTATTCGAGAAAACAGATAGAACAATTTATTCGAACAAACAGACAGGATAATTTATTCGAGAAAACAGACAGAATAATTTATTCCAACGAATAGTCAGAATAATTTGTTCAAAACAAATAGTGAAAATAATTTATTCGAACAAACAGACAGAATATAAATTACTCGAACAAATAGTGAAAATAATTTATTCGAGCAATTAGACAGAATAATTTATTCGAACAAATAGACAGAACAATTTATTCGAGAAAACAGATAGAACAATTTATTCGAACAAACAAACAGAATAATTTATTCGAACAAATAGACAGAACAATTTATTCGAGAAAACAGATAGAACAATTTATTCGAACAAACAAACAGAATAATTTATTCGAAAAAACAGACAGAATAATTTACTCGAACAAATAGTGAAAATAATTTATTCGAGCAAGTAGACAGAATAATTTACTCGAACAAATAGACAGAATAATTTATGACGAACAACGAATAATCGTTATTCGAACGAAATATTCGACTGAAGCGAATTACAGCAATGTCTCCCTAACTGACGCTCAGATTGTGCACAAAAATGGACAATATGGGAAGAGGAGATACGATTATTCGAGCCTTGCAGCTCGTTTTTATGTTTCTTGACAATTTGTAACTACGTAAACGAACCGCGAGGCTCGAATAATCGCATCTCCTCTTCCCAAATTGTCGATTTTTGTGGACAATCCGAGCGTCAATTAGAGAGACATTACTGTAATTCGGTATAATTACCTTAGACAAGTATCTTAAGTATTCGAAATAAATAACGCCGTTTCGGCGTAAACCTGTCGTTTAGAATATTTACGTCGGCCGGGAATCTTATCGATTATGCTGTCGCGTGCGATGATCGTCGGGATTTCGCAGAACCGCCGACGAATTGTTACAGAGCGTTTGCCGGATGGGGAACGCGCTCGCATAGAAATTCGCGGGCGCCTATCACCGCGGCGTTCTTACCTGTTGGTGGGTGTTGGATTGCCGTACGCGACGCACGGTATCACAATGGTGTCCTTCAGCCTCGCCGACATGTAAACCACCTTCTCGTTTATCATCGGCGGCATGGTGCTCCGTATCTCTGCAAGCAGAAAAAAAGAGCCCAGGTACGTCATAAATCCTCTAACGACAATACATCCGGGGGGGAGGGGGGTGGTGTCTATAGACCGAGGCCGACGGCAGCCGCGTGAAATAATAAAGAAATCCCTCGGTTCCCCTCGGCGGCAGAACTTTCCCGTTCGAAGGGAAACTTCCACGAAATTTTCGGGACAACGGCTCGCAGCGTGGGCGGGCGACGCCAGCGAGAAACTCTCCCTTTAATATGTCGCCCACGGAACATCTTGCGCGGAGATGAATCCCGGCAAGGTTCAGCTCGCGATGCGCCCGCGAATATATGTATATTCCGCGAAATAGAGCCGGAGCGGAGGCAGCAGCCGGCAGACCGCCGACGGGTAGTTTTAATAAAACAGCCGCGGGATTAAAAACCGTCCGCTGTAAATTACAAAATGAAATCCGGCGCGGAGGCGGTCACCTCGATCGCCTGGCCCTCACTCTCGCAAAGGATACGCGAGCATCGAACGAAAACGCCGCGATTCGGACGCGATTCGCGTGAGTGGATTAAGAGACAAAACACGAATATACAGGGTTTCTCGCTTGAGTGTGACTCTTCTACTATTTTCTTCAATTTTGAGAGAGTAATAGTTTTTTATGTGCACTTTAATGGTGTCACGTGGTCACTATCACGAATATACAGGGTGTCTCGCTTGAGTGTGATTCTTCCACTATTTTCTTCAATTTTGAGAGAGTAAATAATTTTGTATGTGCACTTTAATGGTGTCACGTGGTCACTATCCTATTTTTAAAAAAATATTCTTTTTCGTAGTTGTCAAGATTATAGATGTTCTTTTTCAAGGACTACTATATTTTTGTGTTGATGGACAAATGTGCGCTGGGACATGACCTTCAAATGACCTACAAAACACATTTTTTAAATATTCTAGGCTCGAACAAAGAAATTAAAAAATAGGAGTTTTTAATTTTCCTTTGTCATTCTAAGCGACAGCAAAATTAAAAAACAGAAAAATATTCCAAATCTAGTAGACCGGTCGCTCAATCATCAGAAAAAAATCCAAGTCCTTCAGTCCAGTCCTAAAAAAGTGATTGCGTTTTGAAAGGTGTCCGAATATTAGCGGAAGTCCCTAAATAAATAACTCATGTCTTTACGATCTGAACAAACGCGAATAAAAAAAATAGATGACCCGTCACTTAGCCAAGTTTCGCGAGCCCGGTGTTAACGAATCGCGTTCGAAGCGGCCGATCTGCGAGAAGCTCGATCACGCGGAGCTTTTCCGGTGCAGGCGCGAAAACGGCGCGCGAAGAAATAACGGAAACGCCGGCGTTGCCGACGAGAACGGTATTGGATTACATTGTTCGGAAAATTGATAGTGACAATATCGCCGGAGATTTAACAAAGGACGCGGAGGGCCGACGGAGGGGATAGGAAACCGAGTAGGAAATACATCCCGGTTCTTTTTCCCGGAGCGCAGAACCAGCCAGCACACGTGCAACCGCGCCGGCTGCGGGGGCGGTGCGGGACGGGGGGAGTGTTACTTTGCAGCTACAGCGTGTGCCCTCTTCTTCCCTCAGGACGAGTTCATGTAAGTTTGTTCCGTGATATACGGGAAATGTTTTCCACGGCGCGTCATAAATAGCCGCCGGCTGAAAAAGGAACAGGAACAACGGTTCTCCGTGGCGGCAGCCTCGGGAGGAGACAGAAAAGAAGGATCCGGCGGACGGTGGAGAGAGTCGGGAATAGGGTTCGTGCCGGTGCACGCATCATCCACGACGTTTAATGGGAAATTATGGCCGCAGATAGTGGCCACGTCTCGGGTCGCGCGGCGTGGCCTCCCATAAAGGGCCAGATAACCGGCCCGGTATCTCGTCGCACCTCCGCGAACATTGGAAATCGTCCTTAACCCTCGTTCGACGGTCCCCGGATCGCCCTTTGACCGAGTTCCGGCCGCTGATCTTCCTCGCGAGCATGGTTCTCCGAGTTTAGGGGAAATTGCTGGTGGTTAATGATCCTTGAAATCGATCGATTGCCGAAGTTGCTTGCACGAGGACCGCGGGGAAACGATTATTCTGTTTAACACGTTCCGTGCCGAGCTTTTTTGACTCGAATCTTCACACTTTGATATTTTACTAAAACTTGATGTATTACGTGCAATTATTAATTCTCGTACACATAACAACGTAACAAAAACTTATCAACGCCCATTCTTGCGGTGGAAATTGATTCTTCGGTTCTAAATTTCTTGTAAACAATTTGTTCAGTTCACTAAGTAAACATGCAAGCGTGTACCATCGATGGTACACGTGGCACGGAACGTGTTAAACCGTCGAATGGATCGCGAATTTTCATTTGTCCGTGACGATGGTACGGAGAAATTGTTTGTCATTTTGGTCGCCGTATGTGCAGGATGGGTCACCGGATATATATTACCGCCTCGATTTGCATCGCTATTATTGCCCGCGGCGAAAAATGTTTCAGAGGGGATTCGAATGCTGTCGAATCCGGCGTGTTCTGCTGCTGCTAGTTTTTTCGCGAGTGGACGCGTTGAGGTCATACGGAGGTCAACTTTGTTTCTTCGAACGGAATGGTTTATTTTGTGATACATCAATGGACGCGGAACGATATTAGTTATAAAAATGTATTAGCATGCTTACGTCGAAAAGTTAATAGTTTGGTTGATATTTCAATTGAAATCATTCTAAGTCTCAAATACTCAGCATTAACGTGACAAATGCGATTAATTGTATTCGCTTGCGTTAGTCAAATTGAAATATCGATTGAACTAATGGCTTTTGAACATAAGCAAGTTAACATATTTTTTATAACGTCGAGCTGCATCCAATCGTGCTCACATTTTCCTGAATGCTTAGATATTGCTAGCTAAAAGCCATATTGTTATTATTATTATTGTTTATAATATATATAATATAATATATTAATATATAATAATATAATATAATATAATATAATATAATATAATATAATATAATATAATATAATATAATATAATATAATATAATATATAATATATATATATTGTTGTAATTATTATTATTATTATTGTTTATACTGCGAATTAATTAAATAATTAATAAAACTGAGGATCGGGTTACAACTGTAAAAGCGATTGGAAAGAGAATATTAAATAAAAATAATAATCCCACGACGATTAAATAAAAATGACACGCCAATACGTATTTCGAGAACTGACAGTACCAAGAATGAAGAATTAATAATCATATAATTATATAATCAAATTATTTATGCGTTAAATGAATCCTCTCTTTAAAAAGAACACGCGTTTTTTATCTACCCGTCAATTTACGCGTACAAGAGATGTCCCAGCGTTGAATAGACGAACGCGACATTCAATTCGACATTCGACTTGCAGATTTCTTTACAATAATGCACGGACGTCATAATGCTTTGATCCATTGAAATCTTTCAGGATTCACGACGGCGAGCGGATTTTTCGCGCCGGCTTTAAAACTCTCGATATTAATAAAACGCTCATAAGCGAGCAGACGGAACGAATCCTGTTTACGGATCGCAAACTGTTGGCCGGGCACGTTGTTGCCGCACGTTCAAAGGCGACAAAGGTATCAGTATGATAATAATTCGCGTGCCCTGGACACATTGACGGCGCCAGCGAAGTCCATCAGCATCGCCGGCGCGAACTTCCCGGAAACAGAATGCACGCGCTATTCATATACAAAGTTTATTAGTTCCATTCTGAAAAAAGAATTTGCAAACATAATCGTCTATATTCCGGCGTCAAAGGCGGCCCGAAGCGGTAAAGAGAAACTTTAATACGGTTTCAAATTGACCCCGGACGCGGCCGCCCGTCCGTCGCTTCTATCCAGCCGCTCGAGGGAAACTTACCGGCCGGCCCTTCGCGGGCGCGCAGCTCGTTCAGATTTATTGCCAACATCAATGGGATCGCGATCGCCGCGTACGGTTCATTAAGATTTCATTAACAGATATTCGCATAATTAGCCACGCTCGAAATAATCCGGCTGGGGAGTCACCGGCCGGATATTGTGTAATAACGCTGTAATGAATACTGCAACAAAAGAGCTCGACGTATGCAACGGTAACGATACGCCGGCCGGCGATTATAGCGTTTTTCGTATTGTCGCCCGGTCATCGATCCGACGAACGAACTCGGGCCGAACTCGTTTCGATTCCATTCGATTCGATTCGATTCGTCGACCGAGCTTCGAAACGCGTCGGGCGCAAAATACGAGCGCCGCGCAACGGGCACGAAACGATATGACGGGATTAAAAATCTGTTGCTTCGCCTCTGCTTTCTGCGACGCAACGAATTTTTCAACAGTTAATTATTACGTTACGCGACAGACATTGTTGCATCGTCGCCGACCGGCCGAAAGAATTCGAGATTACTGAAAATTACGGATTATTATTACTAAAAGATCACTATCACTGTTACTATTACTGCATCATCATTATTAGACTGAATAAAGAAGTATCTCCTCAGATAAAAAAGTTCTTTTATTTCACATTGTTCCTCCAACCTATCGCAATTTCCGCGCAAAATGTTTCACACATTACCCGCTAAGCCAGGGGTGTCAAACTCGCGGCCCGAGATGAACATTTTTGCGGCCCAGTCAATATATCCGACGCGAAGTAAAAATAAAATAGAAATGTGAATTAGAAATGTTGAAAGTATTCTCGGCCAATAAAATGTCTCCCGAAATAGGAAAGATGGTATCAGAGAAGAGATGTCCCGTATCAGGACGTAAACAATAATTTAACTTTATATATGTTTATTGCAATGTACTGGTCAAAATAAAAATATTTGTTTCTATGAACATTGATTTTTTTTTGCGGCCCACCTAAAGTTAAGCATTGTTTATTCGGCCCAAGTTAGCTTTCGAGTTTGACACCCCTGCACTAAGCTGCATCCTCTCTTCGTAACATCTCAATAAATGTTAATTCTTCCGGTGCAATTTTAACGACGTTATCATATCTTTAATGCCGACTGAATA